AGATACAAGAGACTAAATGGGCAGCTTCTGTCTGGAGGTGAGATGGGAAGGCAGAGAGGGTTAGGAGCTGGTTGAATGGACATGGGGAATCGGGGGTGGAAAGGAGGAGTGTGCTGTCGCAGTATGGGGAGAGCAATTAGGGTCACATAACAATGTATGCATAAATTTTTGTATGAGAGAATAACTTGAAATGTAAACTTCATTTAAACTACAACAACAACAAAAAAAAAGCCATTCCACATAAATTAGCAAAGTCACTCTTTCTCTCTGCAAGAATAGCTGCAATGCTCAATTTGTTCCCAAAAATTTAAAAGGGAATACAAAGCTGCTCATCATTATCACTGGATTAAAAAAGAAAGAAATTTTGCCTGACAAATTGCTACTGAGTAGAACTTGTATTTGGATTGTGACTAACTCTGAAATCTGGTTTAAGAATTCAACTGGGATACCATAGGGAAAATGCAGGAGTTTAATGGACTTAGAGACAATGAGATGTATAATTGGCCAACTACAAATTTACATGAAGATGAGGAAAAGATTGGTGGTAAATAATAGATTGTCAAGCACTAATGAATTCTAATGAAATAATAACAAGTTTAATTTTACTCCACCCTTATCTAACTTTCCTATATAAATTGGCCCAATAGGGTGACTTTAACTCAAAATAAATGAACCCCGAATGGATTAGAAATGTGAAACTATGACTAAGCCAAATGAAGGAAACTCCCTAAAAACTGTGTATATATGGACCAAAGGACTTCCGTATCAGAGCGATTCTTACTTCCACTTCTCACACCTGGACAAGTTAAATGTTGGAGAGCACCATGTCTTGCTCATCTCACATCTCCTCCTCCAGGGCTCGGGGCAGCAGCTCTGTCAGGTAGTTCACTGGTCGGAGCAGATGTTGCCTGGGGAGCAACTCTGCCTGAGGCTTCCAAGGAGGAGCCAGCAGCTGTGACCTGAGTAGGAGGTCTGGTGGTGGCTTTGGAGGCAGCTTCGGAGGGGGCTTTTGTAGCTGCTCAGTAGGAGGCAGTTCTGGAGGATTCTCAGGCTCTGGGGATGACTTTGGCGGGGGTTCTGGATTTGGTGGCAGTGCTAGTGGTAGTGGTATGGGTGGTGGTGTTGGTGATGGGGGGCTTTTCTCTGGAGGTGAAAAGCAAACCATGCAGAATCTCAATGACCACCTGGCCAATTACCTAGACAAAGTTAGAGCCCTGGAGGAAGTCAACACTGATCTGGAGAACAAAATCAAGGAGTGGTATGACAAATTTGGGCCTGGGTCTGGAGATGGTGGATCTGGAAGGGATTACAACAAATACTATTCAGTAATTGAAGATCTGAGGAATCAGGTGAGAGAGCACATATTGCTGAGTTTCCGTTATTTTTGTATTTTTCACTTTTATTTGGATCATGTACTGTAATGAAAATTTTAAATCAAGGAATTGTTTGAAAACATATTTGCTTGTTATTTGCTTGTTGTATATGTAAAACGGGACCTTCGTATTTTAACTATAACAGTACTATACATAACATCCAATAACACTTTCTGTTTGCATCTCATTTGAGTATTTATACATAAGAATAAATTTTAGACAATGCCAGGCAGCTAATTAATATGTGTATGTGAGAGTGATGGCAATGAGTCAACATTGGTATGACAAATTTGGGCCTGGGTCTAGAGATGGTGGATCTGCAAGGGATTACAGCAAGTGTTATCCAATAACTGAAGATCTGAGGAGTCAAGTGAGGAACTCGGTGACAATACTTCTTCAGTAATCTACACCAGATAGTAGTTCCTAAAAAATTTTCCTGCAACTATTTCCTGACAATTAAATGTGAATCAGTGATTATGCGGTGTCCATTAAAATGTTCTTTGTTTGTTTGTTCTTGCATCTTTAAATCTCCTAGATCGTAACAGCCACTGTTGATAATGCCAGCATGACTTTTCCAATTAACAATGCTAGACCTGGAGCTGAGGACTTCAAAATGAAGTGAGTTTACCTCAAAATAGCATCCATCGCTATGGCACAAACAAGAATTTCAACTTGAGATCTTGGACTCCTATCGGAGACCAGAAAACAGGAGGTACGAGAAAGCAGCCTCACGGAGCTTCCAGTGGGAGACAAAACAACTGGTAATTGGCGATATATGCTTTCCCACCCGCCACCCTTCTTCACCCCGACTCGGCCTCCTCTGCTTCCCGCAGCCACAGTCTCTTGACCGGGAAACAGCGGCTGCTTGGATTCCACACACACGAACGGGTGGCTCTCTGAGTGCCATTTGTTGGCTGCTAGTGTTACTTCTTTCTTTTCTGCTTCTTTTGATTTCTTACTTGCCTCTCGCCAACTCCCCCTCCCTTCGCTCAAGTACCTGGCTCCATGCGCCATCTTTGCTTCTTCCTGAGGGGCTGCGGAGCTCCGTTCGAGTGTGGAGCTGCTTCCCGGTTTGGGCTGCCGCTCTGGTGGGATCCCGGGGCTTTTGTTCATTTCTTTGGTTTGAATTGTTTGTTTGTTTTCTTTTCCTTTTCTTGAGTTGGGAGCCCTTTCTGGCCACGCTGAGCTGCGTGGCAGGGAGACTCTCCTTTGGCTTCCACAGACGTGCAGAGGGATCCCTGAGGGCATTTCTTTTTGTTTTTTGTTTGTTTGTTTGTTTGTTTTCCTGTTTCTTGGGGGCATTTCTTGTTTTGTTTTGTTTTGTTTTAATTTGTTTTGTTTTCTTTTTCCTCTTTTTCCCTTTCTGTCTTTCTTCATTGCTCAGTTTCTCATCTCTCGATATTTTCCTTCTCTTTCTCTTCCCTGAATACCTGGCGTTGTATACCTCTATGCCTTCTAGCCAGGCTGCACTGCAAGACCTGAGAGCAACTTCCCCAGACCTCATAGCTGCACCGGTGGGATCCCTGGGAACTTTGCGGTTCTTTAACCTTTCTGATTCTTATTTATAAATTCTTTTCTTTTCTTCCTCCTCCCCTTTCTGTCTTTCTCCATTTCATAGTCTCTCATCTCTCCACTCCAACAGCAAGCTCCCCTAGTGTTCTTTTCTGCTTGTTGGTATGTTTTTGGCTCCTGTTCCTCTCTCCTACCTCCCATATCCATCTTAGCTCCACACATAACAATCTCCCCGCTGCATCCTGCCTACCTGCACCATGCGCTTGACATCACACCACCAAGCAGCACAGGCACAGCCTACTGGAACCTACCCTGCACTGATTACCGACCCACCCTGGTGGCTGTAGTAAGTGCCACAAACAACCCATCCCAGTAACTCCTCTTCAGCTAGACATGCCCTGCTGTACCATATCTGAGTGACTGACCCTACCAGGTGAAGAAGGAGACGAAAAGTATTGAGCGCACAGACGAGCAAACAACAAAGAACACACAGTCCGCCTGCTCAGACATAGTCAATTTTTTTTTAAAAAAAGGGACAAAACAAAAAAATCTACAATCAATAAATGAGAAAAATAACCACTGAATGCCCTGAAAACAGCAGACAATATCAAAACATTTACAAA